TATATATATAATCAATTATATATTGTTTTCCCAATTCTTCTTTACTATCTTTTTTAATTCGTACATTTTAGGCACAAAAATATATCGGTTCTCTTATCCGTCATTACCCCCGGAAAATAGAGGTTATATTGTACGTCTAAACAGTGTACCAGAATAATATGTATCTTATTCCCTACAATATTAAATAAATTCAATATTATGCTTGATCGGGTAATTTTCTAAATATAATGAACAAATAATTATCTACTTATTTCCGACATAAGAAGCATTGTAAATAGCTGCGAATGACGCGTCCACATTCAATCTCTTATCCAAAAGTGTTTGGGCTAAAACCTTATCGCCAGATCCTTCACACAGAATTCGGGTAACCTGCTTGTGTCCGCCCGTCATTAACGGTTTCATCTATTACTCGGAGCAAGGTGCCAGTCTTGGTCCACTGATTGGGAACTGAACCATTCTCCATATTATTACATTGTAGATTCAAAAGTCTGGTAGTCAGACGTGAAATTTTTGTAAGCTGCAGGTGTAATTGTTTTTTATTAGTTTTGAGACGCGTGGGTGCATACATTATTTTAATAATCCTTTGATATAGTTTTCTTACCAATGTGATCAAAAACAGGCACTTATTTGCCTTCACCTCTTTCGTCATCTTATTTTCGTCGTCTTCCATTTTGCTAGTTATTATGTCTGTAATTTCAATGTTGTAGTTATTTTCAACATGAAATAAATTATTTTCTTTCGAAGAAAAATGACAAAATTGATCACATCTAAACAGTATTGACGAAATAAATCACGATGAAATAGTATTACTTTGATTAAATTATAATATTAATGTACTAACCACCCTTGAAAAAAATTATAAAAATTCATGTCAAATTCATCGATAAAATTATTACTTTACTGTTGTCAAAAATTCAAATAAATAATTTTATATAACATTCAATTATCTTAATGAAAATAATAAATTGTAAATGAATTACGAAGTTCTAGTTTTCGAACGTTTCTCTATTTTCGTCCTATCAGAAAACGATGTTGGCAATTCACGGATATGAATAGTAGCCAACAAAAAACCTAAGATTGCCAGCATTTTTAAAACAAGTTAAAAGTATCGAAAAGCATGCTTTCAAGCACAGTTACTTGGAATTTAATTTATGTATTGTAAATTTTGAGATTTTTGTAAAATTGTTCAACATTACCGAGAAATTGCTGTACTGTAAAACGCCTACATCAAGAAAGGAAAAATCTCACGCATAAATAGGATTTTTTATATAAGACCTTCCTACAACAACCTTGAGAGCATGCGTGAGTGAATTCCAAGATTAAAAACTGTGGGAGGACGCATAAAATAATGGTCATAAACCAAGAAAACGAGTTCTCGGTTGCTTGAATTGTAGAACGGCCGTGTAATATTCCTGTGTGTTAGCTTGAACATGTCACATGGATTAACTGAATAAATACAAAACTTTTACTTAAATGTAAGCTATAAACAAGAATTACTGTCATTGACTTATCGCAGCAAAGATTGCTCTATCAATTTAACTTGATTTATAAGGCAGTATAAAAACAAAATTGGCAGTTCCGGTTTAGATTTATATCTTTTGTTATCCAATTTGAAAAGCTGATTTTTATTTTGTAGAACATGCATACATTCCTCTTTACTTGGCATTGCAGGAGGCTGTTAAATTTACAAAGCGGTCATATTTTCAATTTATGAGAATAAGTTGATACATATACACATTTTTAGTTATACTAAGCATTTTCACAAAAATCGCCCCAAAGGGCCTAGCGGAATAAGAAATGTAAAAATGCCCCCCGAGAATAAAAAAAATGTTGAAAATCGTATTCGATATGTAAAAGAAGAAGGTTTTCGCCGATTTAAGCAATTCTCTGGGAGTACTAAGCACAAATGAAAATATCATTTTAAATTTTAGCCACATTACACTTACGACTATAGGTTTTAATTCTTCTAGCAATTTTCTATAGATTATAAAGATATTTCGAGAATTTTTTCAGGTGTTTATAATACGATTTTAACCATTGAAATAAAAAAGAAGGGAAAACAAAAAAAAAAGTTACTTCGTGTGTAAGAATGTCTCGTGTTCCGACACAAATAATAAAAATGGGTAAATGCAAATTGTAGCCCTGTACTTTTTCTAGTTTCTCAATATTTCAAAATTTTATTTTACAATTTGCTCCCGACAGCTCTTATAAATAAAACAGCAAGTAATTAATTGTCTTAAAATTATGTTTTGTTTTACTCAGAATTTTGTTTTCGCAGGTTTTGTTTCATTCAGTTCAATTTTATTATCGTACTGTTTATAGATCGTTTTTATTTTGTTTATTACAAATACTAAATAATAAAAACAAAATAATCAGTATTATAACTTATTGTAATTTGTGTGTCGAACAAATTAAGATTTTAACTAAAAATATGAATTTGAAACCGAAAGAGAACATTGTTATAAACAATACGATGAGTACAGTTCCTGAAAGATGCAGTTACGCATCTTCTTGATTTAGGCAGAAGATTTTCAAAACAAGCCATTTAGTTCTAAGCCGCAATGTGCAGATTTACCATCTATCACTACACGCAATATTTGATACTCGTGCCCCCTTGTTTAAAGTCATAAAAACTCCTCCATGCACATCTGCGTCAGATGTTTTGCTGTGAGATTCTATATTGAAGGACGTAGGTACTTTATCATAATCATCATCAAATTCAGGGGATACTTGTGATATTTAGTTCCTGACGTATATCGTCATTTTTTTCGATCTTGGAGGATATCCTGCCACATGGCTGAGAAATTTCATTTAAGCAGCATCAATTCGGCTGGCTTGATGTTTTGTTAGATTCCAGTTCTCAGATCAGTAAGGAGAATGAGGATTGTCATTACATTGTAGAATTTTAGACGTGATTCTCTCCTTGTTGCTTTGAAATTTTGATTGATGGAACAATCGGTTGCATTTATTTAATTTATTTATTGCATCATTATTATTCCTGTTAGAGATATTGTAACCTAGATAATTAAAATTGCTGACTTGTTCTAAGATAACGTTGTCAAGTACTATTTTCGCTCTAAAAGGTTCTATTCCTTTGAATGCCATTATCTTAGTTTTATCAATAGATATTTGTAAATTATGCTCTCTACAAATAAGGTTCAAAGAGTGAACAGCAAAGAAGCCAATCTTCAGAATTAGATATAACGATATGGAGATGTTTATCACCTACCTCCATATTGCAAGATTGACAAAGTTGTAAGATGAACAAATGCCTGTCGGAACTGTCTCTATCGATCCATCATCTCAATCAAGTGACGATGATCCATCTTACGATTTTAAGCTAGACGAGATGTGGAACTAAACTTGATTGAATTGCATTCTCAAAGAGCCATTGATATACTCAAATATTGTCCCTTGTGCTTTTCAAACTTGAACTAATTAGTGTTTATCCGGAAGCTCATGATGAAAATGACGATATACTTCAGGAACTAAATATTACTAATATCCCCTGAATTTGATGATGATGAACTACCTACGTCCTTTAATATAGAAGCTCCGGAAGCTCAGTTTCAAGCTTACATTTTTGTAGCCTCGCGCTTTTTTATACAAGGAAATCGCAGTTGCGGTAAACACATTTGAATAAAAACGGTTGTTTATTGAACATTTTCTTAATAGCAGAAAACGTTCATACGCGTGTCAAGCAGAGAAAAAAGTTAGCTTTATTATGAAAGAAACTGTCAAATCAAATCAATAAAAGTATTATAAATAAATTATATAAACTCATGTTATTTTTGTAATCTTAATTCGTTCAATATTCAAATTTCAAATGGTTATAATATTATTCTTACAATTTTGTTTTTATTATGTACTTTTTATAATAAACATAAAGTACAAACCAAATAGAAAAAATACGAAAAAGTAATAAAACAGGCTAATTCTAAGCTAATAAAGAAGAAACAATGAAATTGCTGTTTTATTTATACTGAGCTGTCGGGTGCTAATTGTAAGATAAAAGATTGACATTTCAGGTAACTATAGAGAATTTACAGGATTACAATTGAGCCCTTTTTAAAGTTCTGTATCATAAATTTAGATATTCTTAAAAAAGTGTTGTTTTTTTCTTTTTCACTCTTTGATATTACAAGGGCGATAATTGTTGACAATGTCTGGAAAACTCGAAACATCTACTTTCCATTTGTGCTAAGTACTCCTGGCAAATTAATTATTGATTTAAAACAGGTGAAAACTTTTTTTTGCATATAAAACAAGATTTTTAATAATTTTGTTCATCGGGAACACTTTTGTCTGACTTATTCCGCTACCACCTTTCTTCTATAATTTTTTTCCAGATAGAACACGGAACGCTTAAAAATAGCGCAGGACACATTTTCATTGAACTGTGAAGTTTTGAAAATTGCAAATGTAGAAATCATGCGAGAAAGCTGCACTAGATTACGTTGAAATGACAGGTCAGTGAAAATAGTGATTTTAGTGCACTAGGTATACTGATGTGTATCCCTAAATGGGAAACAGGTTTTTAAATAAAAATTTACATTAAATTACCTATATATTTCTTTTTCAAATCAAATAATATATATGATGTCACAATATTCAGTGTTACAGAACTAATAATAGCCTACCATGTTGTTGTTGTTATTATTATTACTATATTATTATTACAATTATTATTATTATTATTATTATTATTATTATTATTATTATTATTATCGAATGGTCATATTCACAACAAAAACAGCCAATAATCGTCCTTCATTTCAAAGAATCGTTACACGTAAGGGTGATTAAAGCTGTTTCCCACACGACCTGTCCTGCATTAATATGTTGATTACGAGGGAAAACCCAGTTTCTTCTTAGTTAACCTAAAAACTTGCGTGTAGCCTTCGCTCCACAAGTAATGTCACAAAACGTTGATTTGATCTTTGCTGCTCATTTTCAAGTTAGTAGTTATATGGAAGGACGTATAAAACTTTTCAACATACCTAACTTTATTTTATACAAAGCACTTCTACAGGAGCTACTTGTTCTAAAATTAAAACTTAATATTACTTACACATCATTTTTTATTTGTGATGATACTATTCATAAATTAAAAATTCTATTAATTTTTTGTACAATTTTTACATTATATAAGTACAATTGTATTTGTTTCTTATTTACTAGAAAATACCAGCATATAGAAGCAAATAATTACAAGAAAAACTGTATAGTTTCAAAAATTAAATTTCAATCCGTTTTAATCAATAATATAAACGAAATGAATGTGAGCAGCTATTCGATCTCAATACTGCAGCACCAAGATCACTTGCAAAGATGGCTGGATACTTGAAGCATTGGAAGTGGAGCAAGTAGACCCTCTGCGATCTAGTGGCAGTTCTAAGTACTGATTAAGAGGCAGAGGCAATACTAGTTATCAAGTCAGAGTTATCTGCGGTCGCCACTTCTAAACGACGGCGGCCGTTGTCGGAAGCTTGAAACAAGGCGCGAAAATTCGAAGTAGGCTGGAGATAAATACAGCGGAAAAATAAACTCAAAAGTAAAAGTTTCTCATCATAGTGTAAAAAGAAAAACAAATAACTAGTGTATTTCAAATTGCTCAATATTTCAATCTTTTTGGGATTTTTTGTTTTTATCATTATTTAAAAAAAAACTTTTTTTCGTTTTCCACATTAGTAGACTGTATCAAACAACTTGTCAACGCCAGACTATCCCTCGAATTTGTCAGTTTAATACACACATAAGGTATTATTTATTTTTCGAAAATAATTACTTTCTTTATTCATATACTAACGCATTCCACGATATTTACACGCAAACTATCAAAAGGATTTTCATGTGTTTTATGCGTGATACATTTTTCATTCTTCAGCCTTACCTCAACACCTGTTAAGTATTCACTTGCAAAATTGGTCACAAAATATTGTGCACTTTAACTTACATTGCTGCACTTTCCTCAATTTCCATAGGATATGTACTTATCCCCATCTGTATGCCTCTACCCCGAATAAGCGATATTTCAATGTTATTTACGTGTGTTTCCATTCGCCTTCTTTTTCCTTTGACTCTCTCTGAAAAAAAAATAATGAGGACAGTTTGACAAGTTACTAATAGTCCAACAACTCCTACATCTTCACCGTATTGCAACTGTTTCGTTTGCACTGTGTCTGAAGGGTACGAAAGGGCTGTTAAATTAAGAGTTACTTCATCTAAGAAAACAATGTACTGGTGATAGGATAATTAAAAAATATTCAATAATGAACCTGAATTTTACATAACATTTCAGACTATATTCATTAAAATTATTATTATGTTGTTATAGTTTATCAGGTCAATTATAGACAATCCATTGCTAAGAAACAATTCAGACCATGTCCGAATGCGACCTCAAATAAAGCACTTTTATGAATGATCATCATTTATTTATTTATTTATTTATTTATTTATTTATTTATTTATTTATTTATTTATTTATTTATTTATCTGGGGGTATCCACCAACAGATATCTCCCACCAGCGCGGCACCTCCCCGGCCGGGACAACCTCTAAGCTCCCGACTGGTCTCCCGAAGTGTAATGCATGTAAGTGTAAGTGTGTGTAAGTGTGGCCCGTTTGATACGGTACTGCTCCGACGTTCGCCTAGTTTGCCCTGTTAGATTAAATGCTGTCTCGACAAGTCAACCAGCTAATGTTTTAGTAACGGTAATTAGCACTTTGCAATTAATATCTTTCTTTCTCAAATTCTCTAATTCTCCATACTCCTCTCCCCTGTTTCTTCAGTAATTAAATTACCCGTAATGACATTCCAATGGAATCCTGTAACACAATACATACACCATGACGTTTTTACAATAGATACCCCTATCAATTTCAATCTACGAACGATTTTTAAGTAAGCAAAAACTGTTGAAGAAATCTTGAGTGATCTCTATTTAATGAGCTACAATATTTCCAGGTCATTTCAATTGCTTTTTAACAGTAGTCACCTTCTCCCGATAGTTAAATTATTTGTTCACTTAAATTTTTACTTACATTTCTTGTCTTATTTTTGAAAAATCTGCCGAATATTCTGGTAACTCTCGTGACCTGTTTAATTTTACTTAGATTTCACATCTGCATCAGTTGCGAGGCCTCCAGTTATCGATAGATTCACCGATTAAATTAAATGGTGAAAAACTAGTGTTCCTACAACAGAACATATTTTCTCACATGTATAATTTTTGCAGTTATCTAAACTTCACAGATTTAAAAGATAATGAGACCTGAGACATTTTTAAGTATCCAATGCTCTGAGGAAAAACGTAACAAAAAAATTTGGAGCCGCAACAGAAACAATTTTGTTTTATAAATTACCACCTTTTCAATCAAAAAAAAGCGTTATCTTCAATATTATTCAAAACTGGTGTACGACCTTCTTCAAAGAGTTAATTTTTAAAAATGATTTAATTTAGAAACAATCTTTAATATCAATATTGTAGTTTTGGAATGTTAATTTTTGAAATATATAATATTTTTGAAAATATAGAAGGCTGGGTGCAAATGGGACCTACTCCATTTTATAAACGTACTTTGTCTTATCAGAGTAAAAACTTGGAGAGGGTTCAAAGAAAATTATTGTTCAAAAATTGCCTATTCACATTTGCAAATTCACGCTAAATTACACGATAATTACTCATGTTTTCGAAAAACTGACAGTGATCTTATTTAAATATCTGTCTTTCATGTACACATTTTACTAAGGGAAATATCTTTAATATTGTAGTAGTATGACACCGAATAAGTTTTGAACGTTTGCAATTTTTGAAAACTCAGAGTTCAGTATAAATGAGACCTGTGCCATGTTTAAACGTTCTTGGTCACATCCGAGGAAAACAATTTAGCCATAATATTTTGGACCATTTTTAAGAAAGTTCTGAAAATATTATCAAGATTTCATGAACCGAAGTTTGTAATTCCTGACAAATCGTGGGAATAGTTTACGCGCTAGCGATGGACAGACGGATGACCAGAGGGACATACAGCGTTACGGACAGACGGATAGACGGACAGATGGACTGACGGACACGGACAGTCAGACAATCAGACGGAAAGACAGATGGACAAACAGCAATACGGACAGACACACGGGACCACAGAGACAGACAGTAAGACAGAAGGACAGATGGACGGGAGGACGGACGGTCAGACGGACATACGTATAGACAAACAGACGGATAGGTAGACAGACAGACAGACGGACAGGCAGACAGAGAGATGGACAGGCAGACTGAAAGACAGACAGGCAGATGGACAGACAGGGAGGCAGACGGACAGGCAGACAGACGGACAGACAAACGGAAACATTGACGGACACGCCCTAGCAAGAAGGAAAGCCGCCCCCCCCCCAAGATGTACCATGCGCTATACTTACGGCACTAATGGCAGTTAGCAGTTTTCACGAACGAAAACATCATTCCATCGATGTAGTTCGGATGTACGTTCATAATTTTTAAAATAGGGAAAGTAACTGCTTGAAAGTGAAGAGCAATGAGATTTGGTGTGAATAGTTTGACATATTAATTTACAGATGCGTCCAACAACACACAAACACATTGACACACACACACACAAACAAACATGTTTTACACATTTTTCTCCTCAGGAATTTTCTCCTGTCCGTCTGTCCTCCTGAGGAAGATATCAAAGCCTTTCCACATATTTTTTTAATTGCAACCTAATGCATGAATATTCATGTAATAGTCTGTAATTCTCAACATACTAAAAAATTAATATAAATACATGGAACTTTTTTGATTACTACTATGTTAATAAAAATTGTATAAAACAATAATTTACACTTACGTGATATTGATGAACGGACATAAATGTCAACATATTACTTATCCTTTTCTGTTGTGTACGAAACATAATGCCAGAAAGAATGAATTCTCACAGTTACAGATATGAAAAGATTGTTTTTTCCTCCTCATTTATGGAAAGTCAATAAACAAGTATGTGTGTTTGGAACCGCGTATCTCGTGGGTGTACATGCACGTAAGATATGATGTGGTTGACGTCTGCAGAGGATTTCTTGGTTCCAAGTGTAACTTATCATTTACCTTCGAGAATGCATATTTGCCAGATGGATAAAACAAACTGCTCAGACAATATTAGAATATACTCCATAACGTAAAAACCTTGTATCATACAGAAACAATACGTTATAGCATAGTCTACCAGACAAACTCGTAGAATGGAAATTAATTTATTTCAAAGTAGGTATTATGTTATTAAATTCCTTGATAGCAATTACCCCTATTTGAAAAACAGATGAGTCTTTATCCTTACTTGTATTGCTGTAAAGTATATAAAATCTATTTTTATCTAAGTGCCTAACTACCACATTTGATGAAAACTTTAAAAACGAGATATGATCAATTGGACGCCCCCAAAATATATTTTGGCGCGCCATAGTTTTCTTATATCTGACCAATGTGTTCAATTAAAATCTTTACCATAATTTATGATCTTAGATTAACAAACATTATTAACAAGTTCTAGTAAGCGATAATGAGGCAAAAACGGAAACCTTATTCAGAATGGTGGCTTACGGGTGAATATCAACAACATACAAAGCGCGAGTCTGGGACTTCTTCATTGAGTGCACATTCAAATAATGGGAAGTAAATTTCATATCTAAATATATCTAGTTCAATCAGATAACGCGAAAGGTCAGCTACTGTATCAGGTGATTTCTCTTTCTGCAATCTTTTCGATGTTTCGTAAATGACCGGATATTCAAGAAGAACTAGATGCTATCTTTTTCTAGTGTGGACTTTACTCCTGAATATCAAGCATGTGACAGTGGTTTTCTTACAGTTGACCTTTGCTCGGCCAAAGAAACAATCATTTTCTACAGACATAAGTGATTTCATCCTTGTAATTGTATGAACTGAAAATGCGAGAAGTGCGTCTAATCTCATACCGACAGTTTTAACGTCACAAAAATGTTTCGTGTAACTAATTTGTCGCAAGTCATGCTTGTAGATTCTAGCCACAATATATATATATATATATATATATATATATATATATATATATATATATATATATCATTGATTCTGTCATAACAATCGATTTTATATTGCATAAATTATTACACATATTGCACAAATGAATATTTTCTTTTGCTACGTCATTGTTTTGAAATGTCTGGAGCTGCATTGTATTATGCATAATAATTAAATTCGGTTATGATATAATATTTAAATAGCTTTCACCATATGATATTTTGAACTTAATCAAATAGTTTCCATATTCATTTAGTTTTACTGATTAACTAATTTTTTAATAACCATCATATAGTTTTGTACATACTAAATCATATTTTTTATTTATTGAACGTCAAAATCAGTTCACAAAATGTGAGGTACTATAGGGAGAATACAATATGTACATGGTTACTTGTGCTCTGGAATGTGTGTTCTAACTGACATACGAGTACATATTAAGATGAATTATAAATACATGTCACATCGAGAGGTTTTGGCAAATATTGATATGAAAATAATCGCTTCCGTACTATGAAAAACATTTGCAAAGGCAAATCAGCTACAGATGTAGGCTATTATCCTTAGTGCTTTATGTGAAATAATCGACTTACTGCCGCGATAAAATGGACAACTAATAATCGAATATCTAGTTCCCGAAAGAGCTCAAGAAAGCATACAGAGATAGTGAAGCTACATTTATGTCCAGATGTAAATCAAAGGGTTCATATTAGCATTTGCTTAAAGATCAGGAAAACTGGCCGAAAAACCTGATCGAGATAGAAGTCATTAAACCAAAAGGTCAGGTACAATACTTGTTACAGGCTTATTGAGTCGTTTAGAATTATATAATCTACATGTTAACTAATATATAACATATTGTTGAAACGAATAATATATTTCTTTTTGATGCTCAGTAAAATCTCTAAATTTATAAAAACAGTTATGCAGCAGAAAAGAGTTTACTTTTCTCTTAAACTTGTGAACAGATTTTAATTGTTTAGTTACATCTGGAAGTGAATTGTAAAATAAAGACCTTGTATGTGATCGTTTTTTTTTGTAGTGAGTTGTTGGTACTGACTCTTGATGTACTATATGATTTCTATATCGAGGTTTATAGTTATAGACATCTGAATTGGTTGAAAATATGTTCCCGTCCATCAATAAGTCGTTTCTTCATGACCACTGACTCATAAATCGAGAGACACGGCAATGGTAGAATTTCTAGCTTAATAAAGAGAGACTTACAAGAATTATGTGGGTGGGATTTATTTTTTATTCGTACAATTTTCTGTCATCTAATAGTCCGGATGCTTTATCATGTGCCATTATGTTATTCTTATAGTGACATAATGTTTTTCGCGATGCTATTTACACTTACAATACATGTGAACGAATTATAATCTAATTGCTTAAGTAACTTGACGTTCAACGGTAATTTATTTATCTTACATTTCTGTGAAACAGGAAAAGAAATAATTCTATCAATAGTGTAAAATTCGTCGCCCAGTCGGCAATGTGGACTATGCAGTGCTGCCCAGCAACGCCCAATATCTGCATTCATTGAGGATGCTAGTAAATAAAATAAATGTGCGAAAATTCACATTGTTCCTTCTGAAGATGAATTTTAAAAATTCTTACTTAGTGGTTACAAATGTAATTATAGGATATACCCGATTAGGCGGTGATGAGTGCTCCCAAACCAAATCAATAATCGCGATGCTAATTTGGAAGAAAATAAAAAATGCCTGAGATACCCAAAAAATCAGACTCGTAGTCATGTGTTGCGGAGATGCAACGAGAAAAAATATTTTTCATGTATTATTTTTGCTCAGCTTCTATTGCAGGTATCAGGTTGAAGAAATGGAGAGATGAAAAATAGTTAAATTTGAAGGTATTTTTGTCAACCAATTTTGATGCCAAATTCAAATACAAAAACATAATTAAATTTCTGATATTGATTTTCGATGTGATGACGGAGTTCTGTCTCGTTTTACCCCCTAAAATATGTCTTATATTATTCTATAACATATTTTCGTCAGAGTTTTAAACAATATGGACGGTAATGAACAAAAATTAAAAACAAGTTCATCAGTTTAAAAATTTGAACTTCGAGCCAATATGTGATTGGAAAACACTTTTTACCAAAATTTAAACAGATTCAATGACGACATATATGATCTCAAAATCTTGTAGATGTTACATAGATTATGTACCTAACTCAAGTGGAATATTTCATGGTAGACAGAGATGGGGCAACCGACTTCAGCCAATGAGCGCAACCGACTTCAGCCAATGAGCTTCAGGCACCAGTTTGAGTCATAATATTAGCGTGAATTTTAAAGGCCTAAATTATCACAATTACAAGTCATTGAAACAGAAACAGATAAGTACTTTTTTAAAATATTGTAGCTTTTATTTCAATTACACCTTCATCGTGTTATTTTTTGTTGGTCACCATTGAAAATTGTCTCTTAATGCTCCTTTCAAAATGCTTCTCAAAACTTCTTGTTCTCCATGCACCATGGTAGCCAAGCTGTAAGTCTTGCTTTTCAACCGAAGTGCTCGTGTGTAGTCTCGTGGTTCGTGAATCAAACTGAACAAGCAAAAATCGGTGCACCTGATGAGCCCACCCATCTTTTTTCACCATGGGAATATCGGCAGTGAAACGATATTATTGGGAACGCACAAACGGAAATCGTACGCTGGGACGCAGCTCCCACAAGCTGCGATCATTTATTATTTGGCACATGCTCGTTACTTGGCGAAAATTGTTAAACCGTTAGAAATTTTGAGTGGACTGTTTGTAAACGAACGCGTGATGCCAGTTATTGATGAAGACAAAGACGATGATCAATTGTCTCTGATTTTCTAACTCTCAATGATTAATAAATCTACAAATGAATAATTTTATTTATGTTATAAATATAAATAATCAATGTACCTAAAAATCGGGTAATTTTATTTTTATTACAAAAAAATATATAAAACCAAAATATGTGTCTTTTCAATAACTTTAATATAAATTGTTTAAATATTTGTGAAAAAGAAATTCCAATCACAATTTTAGTGCGAATTTTAAATTTTAAACTGAACAATTTGTTTAATTTTTTTCTCTATCGTTAACGTTGTTTAAAAAACTGAAAAAATATATGTTACAGAATGTGATAAGACACATTCCAGATGGAAAACTGGCATAGTTCTCCAACGTTATCACGCAGAGAACGAAATACCATAAAATTCAACCATTTTCCTCGTCTCTTCAATCAGCCTGAAAAACGAAACTGAAATTTTAATTTTTGGAGGTACGTTTCATGAAGCCCAGGGATATTTTCCAAATTTTGAAAAATTGGCTCCATCGTTTTTATACAATTTTGTTGTTGAATAGTGTGAAGAACGTTTAAGAGAATCGTGTAGGTCTCATTTTCATTAAATACTCTGAATTTTCTAAAATTGCAAAATTGCACATTTTTTTCGTAGTTTTCCTACAACTAAAATAGTAAAGATAGAGATTTTTTCCTTAATGAAATCTTTACCTGAAAGATTTTGAAATAAGGTCATGTACAATTCTTCGAAAATTTGAGTACTTTTCGCATAATTTTGCGTGAAAATACTGGCGGGAAAGTATGTGTTGTTTTAGCACAACTAATTTTCAAACGTTGCATTTTCACAAAACCTTTCTATATCTCCACTTCAATGAACAATTCGTTGCATCGCAAAATTGTTGTTTGCCCTGATGAAGGTGAATTCATCCTATAATATGACAAATACTATGACAAAGTAGAGAAGTAACTGTAATATGAGGCAAATGGCGGGAGAATTGATCACTTGCTGGTCACGTAACATCTACTTCATAACTTTTCCTAGGAGTATTAGAAAGTATTAAAATCCTTCCTATCCCATTGGCTAGAGAAATCGGCCACAAAATTCTACTAGCTTCAAATAATTCATCTTACTTTGTACGATTTTTTTTTTATTTGAGGAGTGTCAAACCTAGTCCTTTTGAATGCAAATATGTTAAATGCCAATTCACACAGAGCATAAGTCGCATAATATTGATGATGAAGTTTGAGATGTTAAGAATATTTTTTTCATTAATTACAATGTTTCAAAATTGAGATACAAATGATATTTATTAAGGCATTATGCGATTGAATTGATATTAATTCAAGCTTTTTGAAAAACCTTTCTGGAGTTTGAGTACTTTCTCTCAAACAGAACCTGAATATTTCTTCGATTCGGATAAAAACATCAGGTATGTCCATGTACCAGTGTTCTTTGAGGAGCCAGGCAGAAGAAAAGCGGCATGCCCTTTCGCACATTACGTCCCCTCCCTCCCTCGCGGCACAGCGGCGGGCGGGTGCCAGACGCGTCCTTGGCGAAGACGCTCGATAACGAAACGTGGGAGCCAGATAGCGACGGAGGCTGGGGCAGGGGCAGGGACGGGAGCGAGGGGCGTGGCGGGGTCTCGGGCGCGTGGCGGTGGCGACAGGAAAGCCCTCGACACAGGCGCTGCACTTCGCCCCCGCAGCTGCTGCTGGGCGCAGACGCCGCGGGTTCATAACCGTTGCACTCGAGGGCTCTTCTCGCTTCCGTCGATAAAATCGGAGCCCGCCAAGTCCCGATTCCAAAGTCTGGTGAAAGCTGCGAATTTCATTTATATCTGTCAATGCGGTGACGAATGCGAGAGAATGTGACTCGTAATAAAACCAGAACAACAGGACATTCATCCTGATTCTTACCAATATTTGTTTACGAAAATCATGTACGTTAATGCAGATTCATCGATCGTGTTACAGTGAGGATGACAACATATACACTGTTACATCAGTCAGATCAATGCAAAACATACATATGGAAACCAATGCAATTCACCAACGTAATATCGAGTTAATTTTACACCTCGTTTTAGAGAAGTCTTAAGTCGATTTTTGACTTGTATTCTGTTCTTCAAGGATAATTTCCTTACTTTTTTACTCCAAAATCGAGTACATACAAAATAGCATGTTTAAAAAGCAAGTTTTATTTGTAAATGTTGATATTCTTCGTAAATAGCTTCGTTTCATTGTGAAGTTAAATACTTTATATCGCAAATTGCTCGGATTTTGTGGCATCTGCTCTTATTTTGTTTATCTATTTTCTTGCCTAGAAATACAAAACAGTATTCCACATCACTTGAATTTATACTGGTATTCACACATTCTCCAGAAACTTTCTATAGCATCTGAAACATAATCAGCATCTTCGATGTAATAAAAACAAATAAAATTCATAAATTTTAGAAATGCTGATCTATAAAAAAATGTGAAATCTCCTCGATTTCTCGATGCACTATCAGAATGGCATATCTTTCGCTTGTCAATAACTGCATTAGGATGGACGCAGAATCCTATGACTTCTTTTGAAAATAGTGGTTAATTAGTGGTAAATTTGTTTACTTGTTATCCTACTACATTTATTTAAAGAAACAAGGTATATTCGATACCTACAAAAACAATTCGTAAGGGATCAATATTGCTTCCGGCAAATTATAACATTTTGCATGATAATAACAAGTTAGTATGTGCAATCGTTTCTAATAAATATAGTTCAATACGAGAACAATTACAATATTACAGAATAATTAATCAACATCCGAGAGTTTTGATCACCAAATTTTCAAGACGTGTCAAGAAATTAAGAGGAAGTTGTAATTTTCTTAGTAAATATTTTTTCCAGTAACAAGTCTCTACACTAGAAGTATGTGACTGTCCGTAACATACTGCATCGTCATGTATTTACAATTTATGCAATGCTTTTCAAAGATACTGATATCGGAGAAAGAAGCAAATAATGATGAACACGCAGAAACAAGTAAAATAAGTGTTTGTTCAGTTTTTCATGTATAATCAATATTTCCTCCCAAAGATAGAAGCAATATTAATATTGTTTTATTTATAGAATTAATATTGCAAAATAATAGTAATAATTATAATTATAATTAAATTTATTATTATCAATATTAGAGATCGGATTATATGCGTTTTGTGGAAAAATATGCGCAGATATATGCAATTTGTTTTCTAAAATATGCACGGCAAATGCAGATTTATGCCAAATTGTCTGCAAACATGCAGCAAATCAGGGAAATATGGATTCAAAATGAAAACAAGCATATTAAAATTTTTTCTATGTAGTATATTTATTATTACATACTAGATTTAACGATAGGTTACAAGTGAATGTCTTCATCACAGTAGTATTTGTGATTTTACCACAACATGATGTTCAAAATTGTCAACGATAACATTACTTCTCTTATGTGTATACATATCTGCAATGTTATTGAGCAATTTTTGAATTGTGCCATTAAAGAATATGGCACACTTAAAAAATCAAAAATTTATCTTGAAAGAACCTTGGCAATATCCATTAATACAAAATATCCAGTGTTTTACCAATGATAGAACGACACTTTTTGTACAAAATTTCACCAGTTTTCCCTTTAGCTCATTTACAGTTTTTATCAAATTCTCTAATTAAGGAGACTTATTGTACGAGTGATAAATTTTGCATTTCAAGTAATTTAATTGTTTCAGGAACGAAGCTCCAGTGGGTTTTGACATTCTTTCATTTTTTAATATCAAACTTGTCAGAATGAAACTTAACAGCATCCAACCAAGTCATTCATTTTATCGAAACCGGCTGTGTTGGTAATTGTAAATTGGATAGGGTTTCTTTATAAAAGTAAATCCGCAATGGGGTATTTAAAAATATTCCGTTTACAGAAGAAATTAATTTGATTAGGGGATACTGATATCTGATTGTTTCTGTCACAAGCTTAGCAACGTATACTAAACAAGTTTCATGGGTTAAATTCGGAAAAATGTTTATATATTAAGCCGATTTAACCATGCAACTTGCACCATCGCTCACCATTATAATAATTTTTATCAATTGCCACACAGTTCGTCAAATAAAAGTTTGCTAATTATTCTAGCTCGAAACGAGTTACTCTGAAAAATGTATTTTCGAGTTGTTTTGAAGTGATTAAGTATGACCTGTAACAGATACCACCATCATTTAAAAAATCCCACGGATATGTTGAGCGATGAAGCGACGTGATACATCGGTCGTCTCATCGACTACAAAATAAACAAAATTCTCACCAATAATATTTCATAGAGATACAATAGATTCACAATAATAAATTTCCACGTATTTTTTTCGAAGTGTCCTTTCGTCTCGGATATTTTGCTGTCAGTCCTTTTGCAGAAACCCTCAAAATGTATTGTTACTTAATATGTGCAGAGGTGCATCTAATGATAGAACAACTCTTCATCGCACAACTCCTTATTAAACATTTCTTTAGTTGTTGTTTTTATCTTTCGCCACACGCAAAACAACGTTCACTTTGGAATTCACTCCTTTCAGTGACGCTTCCTGTTTTCTTTCGTGGCATGTGGTTTTCACGTGCTGGTTTATTTGAAACTTCTTTGCACATACTATCTAAAACAAATGTTTGGAATCTCTTTTAAAGTCTCATAAAGTTGATTTCTTAAGTTTTATTCACTTTATATTCTTTATAGCATTTTCGTACACAAAATCTTAATTTTATACAGGAATAAACTGTTGGCAATTAAAATGTTTCTAAACTCTAATAAACACAAAATAATCTTTACCACAGATTTCATGAAGAGGCGATCGAAATTTCTAAAATTTGTAATTTGAATCTCTGCGCTCCTTTCTCTGTAGGGACTGTTTAATTTAAAGCCTGGAGGAATTAGTAAGATTATAGTAGCAATATTGTAATATTACAAAAACGTTCAAATAATCCATTGAGGTATGCGTTGTTTTCACTAGTTTTTCTCTTGCATTATAAAACATATTTGGAAATGATTATTTCCCTAACATTTTAATTGACAATACAACACATTTGAATTGGCTATAACTTCATAATTGGCTCTCGTTTACCAACACGAGAAATGACCATCCTTTCGTTGATAAACTTTTCCAGAAAGGAAACGTAAAAGGCAGAGGTCAAGTAGAAGTTGTAGATGTGCGAGTTGAATGAAAAAATATTCTTGAAGTGTGTATTACTACTTATGAAGATACGAGGATTGATATATCATTAAAGTGATTTAGATATTTATATTTTGACCTCTGTCCTCGCGCGATGCAGGGCTAACGTTGCAAATCTTGAATCAAAATTACCTAGTCTCAATATTATCAGCTTCCGCGATATATTTACCCGACAGAGAATAACAAATGAGAGTAATGGCTTTGATATCTATGTAAGCAAATTTCCTCTTTCCCACATTATACATGAATCATTAAATGGATTTTGACCGAGGAAAAGAAAAAATATTAGTTGTTTTATAACAACTACTCTATGCACTATTTTACGAACCAACGAATGTCACATTTTTATTTTTTCAACAATATGTAATATTTCTTGTGCCAATTCTGTCCTAATTAAAAGGGTGCGTTACCAACAATACAAACTCGCACTTGTTCATTATACTAAAATCCTACAAGCACCAGGATGGAGAATGACATTACGGATACGACGATTGCTCCTGAAGTCTGTGTGTCTAATTTGGAATTCCAGCCAAGGTAAATATATTTGCTGATTTAAAACTCGTTTGCAGTTTCGACTGGTATTATAATGTTACATAACTGACAGTCGGACAGACAGAAGGCTAGGCAGGCAAATAACACTTTTTCGGAACCAGTGAAATTTTGTAAAAGTCTGAAGATCACAGTTTTTGAGCATTATATATCTGTCTTTATGCTACGTATACGAGAAAATATAGGTAGAACTAAAACAGAATATCGATATCATTCAAAGTACCCACACAAAGACTTGATAGCAAAAAAAGTATCTGGCATCATTATTGAGAACCGTTATTTTTATGAATTAGAACAAGGAATAATAATAATAATAATAATAATAATAATAATAATAATAATAATAATAATAATAATAATACCAACAACAACTTTCGTATTTCTATACACATCATTGTACTTTTTAAATTTTGAACAGTCAACTATTTTTCTTTTTTGACGGTTACTCATTCATCGTTGTTGTGGGAGAATTCTGAATCTGATCAGATCGTATATGATCGAAGTTCAATTACTTGGGACTGGTAACTGATACGTGTAATTCCTTCTTGAATGCATCTCCTTACGTAACGCGGTGGTAGAGTTGACATTTTAACTTTCTCATCCATCTTTATGTCTAGTATATAATAACATATTTTCGTCCAGTCCCGACCTTTGTTCAACATTTGAACTTTGTGTTCTTAGATGACGCAAAAAAATATTTTTATCTAGTACTCCTTTGTTAGATTTGTTTCCAGAAAAGCATCAAGATACTCCAAGATATGCATGAGTCTTCCTGCAGAGACCTTGTTAGTATTCTGTATTACTGTCGGTCGAGGTCAGCAATTCTACACCTGTGATAAAGATCCACCGCCCCGGAGTTCAATTCACAAGCACAACCCATGCACCCGCTATCGCTGATGCCTTGGCGATAAGCGCTCGAGCCCCTGGCGAGGGCATCCGCTCGGACGCAGTCACCCGATCGAGTCACCGCGACCACAACATTATCGCGATACGCATCGGGCTCTCCCGCGCGCTGGTGGCGGGGGTGGGGGCGGCGTCGGCGGCAGGCAGCTGCGGCCGACGCGGGTGCAAAGAGCGCTCGCGACCTGCCTC